GGATGCGCGTCGTGGGGCGTGCCTCCCCCAGCACGTCAGGACGCTTCTCCAAGTCACACTTCATCTGGGCGGAACTCCAGCTTCTTAAAACACTTCACGGAAAGGGCTTCCTCCCTGGGCCTCCACACCCCCAAAGCACCTCCGTCCCTTGCTGGGCGAGCCTCCCTTCTCCGGCACAAGGCACACGGCAGGCCACCTGGACGTACTGCCCCATCCCTGCCCCGGGACTCGAAGCTGCACTGCTCCCACCAACAGCGCCCAGGAACCCTGCTCCAAGTCCCAGCGCCCTGGGTCGAGGCACCCACTGTGGGCTCTGGAGACTCGAGTCTGAGTCCCAAGGGACCCTTAGGCTCTGGCCTGTGCATCCTGTGCTGCTGAGTTCACAGCGCTGCCTACAGAGCCAGCGTCCTATGCGCACACTAGGTGCTGACCCTGCACAGATTCACCTACAACTTGTGCCTTGCGAAGTGGAGAATTCGGACACCACATTTTGTCCACCTGGTCTGTCCCGACAGTGAGTCAGGGCCCCACAACACGTGGGTGACAGTGGCCAGGAGGACGGCATGTCCCCACCGCCCCCGTGGGGTCTGACCTGTCTCCTAGCTCTGCTTGGGATTTTGCAGGTTCTGCGTGTGTCTGCCTCACAGTGGGGCCGGCTCTCAGGGCTTGGCCTATGCCTCATGTCCCGTGGGGCTGCATAGGTCCCTCTGACAGCCACTGGGACCCATGCAGCCTGATGCGGCTTCTCCACCCTTAGTGGTTCCCACCTGCCTTCTGGAAGCCGCTCCACTGACACAGCCCCGTGGACCGGCCTCCTGTTACCGCCAAGCCCCTACTCTGAATTAGACGCTGGCGAGCCCGCTGCGGCCCAGGCCCTCCTCAGGGCTGCTAGTCAGGCTGCCTGGCCACCCTGCTGCCTTCTGCACCAACACACACTTTCGAGGGACCCGCCAGCCTCCCCATATCGGGGAGCTGCCCTCCGCTCAGATGAGTCTCAGTGTGTTCTAGGGGCCCTCAGGGCGTGGTGGGGGTCCCTGACGGCCCTGTCCCTGTCTGCACTGGAATTCCCACGGGCTCACTGGGTGGACACTTTCAACACTTTCAAGGGACACAAAACAGCGGCATAAAAGGAGAGACTTAACTACTTAAAAAACAACAAACCAAACCAAATAAACCAACTCAACCACGCACGGGGTTCCAATTGCTGGTGACGACCCCGGCGACACCAGCACTGGCCCTTGACCTGGCAGCACACGGCACACGTGGCTCTCAGCCCCGACCCCACCAGGTGCCCCCGCGGGTCTCCTCTGGAGCCACTGATGGACGCTGGGCACGGAGACACGGTGGCCTTGGGGGGAGAACTGGGTCCTAAGCTACCCCACAGCACTCACAAAATCTTGCTGAATGTCTGTGAAATCCTTCCCATATTTTTCCAGGGCCTCCTCGAAAAGGCTGGCCTCCGAAGCCGACCACTCCTCCATCTCATCCCTGCAGAGCACGGGCCCGCCCTGCGGCACCAGGGCTGAGATGGCCTTGGCGACGTCGTACACGCTCCTGTGCAGTGTGTCCATGGCGTGGAACTGCAGCAGGAGAGGCAGGGTCACCCAGGCCCCGGCTCTGCTGTGAACCCCCCCACCCGGGGCAGGGGACACACCCAGGCCAAGTCTGGGAGGCCACAGGACAAGGGGGAGCCCCATGCAGGGCTCGCCAGCCCTCCTGCCTAGGAGAGAGCGAAGTCTCGGGGGGCAGCCAGGATGCATGGGGACACCAGGGCCTCCAGGCAGAGCGTGGGGAGGCCCCTCCCAGAAGACCTAGGATGGGGTCGAGGGAAGGGTGGCTCAGCCAGGCCCGAGGCTGGCAGGCGGTGGGCGCTGACCTGCGGTCTCACAGCCGTCCCCCACCCCCACGGGTGCGGCACCCCCAGGAGGAAGTGCCCTGAGCAGGGCAGGCGCCATGCACATGGGAGGGGCTGGCCTAAGGCAGGTGAGCCGTCTTCCAGAAGACACAGCTACCACTCTGCGACAGGAGACTGCAGAGGAGCAAGACGGCCCCCTGCACAACAAGGTCCCAGCAAGGGTCACCGCCTGGGACAACCAGAAGCCGTGTGCTGCAATCCCAGGAGGGTGGGTGCCCCTGGTCTTGGCCTTCCAGTGGCCACTTACCAGGGTGATGTCCCGGGAGGCGGCCGCGGCACTCATGTGCAGGCTGGGCTGTCGGACTGAGCTGCTGCAGTCCAGGGCCCGGGCGAAGGTCCCCACGGAGCTGGGGGGAGGAGAGACACTGAGCACCAGAGTGCACAAGCAGGAGGGGTGGCCAGACCGACCAGGACACATAAAGATGTGCCCAGACTCAGCCGTCCTGAGACGGAGCCCTTTGGTCTGGAGCAAGGGGCCGTCATCTCGGGTTTTCTGTAAACCTCTCCTTACTCAAGAGCCTCCAGGTCCTAATGCTCAAGACCCCGTTTCCACGTTGTTTCCAACGGCACAGGACCCAGGAGCCTGCTGGATGCGTGGCCACAGTGCCTCACGGGGGCTCCCTTCTGCTGACCCAGCCCAGGGACCTGCGAGGCCCTGGGTCTCTGAGGCCACATCTGTTGCAGCTGCCTCACCCAGTCCCCAGGGCAGAGCTAGATGAGTACCATCACCCAACCTACAGTCTTATTCAGCCTCTGCTGGCGGCGGCCCCTGGGGTACAGGGGCCGGCAGGTGGAGCTGCCCCAGGACCCACAGGGACACAGCTGCAGTCAGCAAACCCCAAGAGCCGTCTCCATATCCAGGGAAGGGCCAGGACCCTGCCTGGCCTCCTTGGGAACTGCAAAGCGGTCTTAACAGCAGAGGCCTGGCTCCTCTGACCTCCCACACCCTTCACTGGGGTACGCCCTGCAAGACAGACGCCATGGCCTCACGTCCTGACGCCTGCTGCAGGAGTGGGCAGCAGCTGTGCCCAGGGTCCAGGGACGGAACGGTCGCCCCGGCCCAGGACTCACCGGGCCACCACCAGGAACTGGTCGACCTGCTTGTCTGTGAGCGGGTTGTGCGCCTCCCACACCTTGGTCTCCAGTTTGGACTGGTCTCGGCCATCTTCCTCACCTGCAAGGGAGGAACACCGCACGGTGAGACCAGCCAAGGCTGTTCTGAGACTCCCGTCAAGGCCATTTGGGGCCAAGGGTTGGCCTGCTCCCAGGGGTCACCGAGACTGGCTGCTCTTGCAGGGGGTGGCCACATGCCCTCCTGCAGTGCTGGGAGCGAGCCCAGGGGCCGGGCACACACGCAGATGAGCGCACACAGGGGCTGCCGGCTGCAGCTCCAAGGCGAGCTCAGCACGGGATGGGTCTTCCCCTCTGCGAACAGTGGTGCGCAGCAGGCGCCTGGGGCTGGCGGGCCGCAGTCCTGGTGGAGGAGCCGAAGAAGGTGCCGTCAGGAGGCTGGCGGAGCACGGCCAGCTGGGCAAATGGACGAAAGCAGCTTGGTTTCGATCCATCAGGCTTTTTGTTACGAGATGTTGCAGGGTCAGGGCCGTTGTTCCCAGCCCCCCAGGGGCAGCACCTATGTGACCATGGGCCAGTCACAACCAGGACACTGACATCAACGCAGTGCAGACACTCACGCCGGGGCCACAGGCTGTCTCAGAGCATCTCTCCTTTCAGGAGGAGGCCCTGGCCGCACTGCCGGCGCAAGTGTCCCTTGCTGTGTGCTCCATGGTCAGCAAGGGGGAGACGGAGGGACCTTCGCTCACAGAGCCCAGACGAGGCCCAGAGTGCAGCCAGGCTTAGGGGGAGGCCCACAGGGCGGCTTCCTGGTGGCAGCCGTGTCACGTCCACACTCAGCCTTTGTTGCTCTTGGTGGCAACCAACTTCCAGACCCAGAATGCAACCCTCACAGCGTCGGGGAGCCCAAGGGGACCCCGGTGTTGCGGGATCAAGTGGGGCTGGGCGTGGCTGCAAGTCACCAAGGAAACACCTGCCCCCTCACCACAGGGAAGGTCAGAGCCCCTAGGCTCCACAGACGGCGCTGGGCTGGGGGCTCAGGGGGAGAAGCCCTGCTCGGCAAACTAGCAGGGCAGACCCAGAGGCTGGGTCCCGGGGGCCGCTCCGAGGGGAGACACGTCGTGACGCCTGCAGGACCAGTGCAGGTGGGGCTTTCAGCGTCAGGGGTGGGCTCCTTCCTAGGGGGCAGCTGGGCACCTGGGGTCCTGCACCTCCTGGCATCCGTGGTCTGTGGGCCACGACCAGCCCCCAGTGACTGCCAGGCAACTGAGTCCAGAGCCTCAAGCACAGGCCGCTGTGGCCCTTGGCCCTACCTGTCCCCCGCACTTGTCCCCCCACACCACACTCGCTCCTTGCCGGCCTTCGCGGGCGTTGACTTTTGATTTCACACGCGTTAAAGGCAGGGGTGCGGCTTCACTCGCTGGCAAGGGCCCGGGCTCCAGGAGGTGTGGGAAGATAGGAGGTCGAGCCCACACCGACCCCTCCTCCCACCATGGCCCAGGAGGTGGTGGGGCTTCCCTGGGGCTCCCAAGACCAGAGGCGCGCCTCCCACCAGGCACCCAGGGCCGCCGGGGAAGTAAGGTCCCGCTGACGTCCCCACAGGGCCTCTCCCAGTTCCCAACGGGTGTGGCCATCCACAGGCCCCTCACCCTCAGCCCCACGGGGCCCCGGGAGGATGCCAGTCCCTGGAGTAGGGCCCTGGTGCTGCTGCACCCGCGGCAGGGGCATGGGCCGCTCACAGGCCCCGGAGAGGCCATGCCAGGAGACCCCTGGGCAGCAGCAGCCGGCTCCTGGTAGGCGGGAGGCCACAGGGTGGAGCTCCATGGCTGCACACAGGACGAAGCCAGATGCACCTGAACAGATGGGAACCACGCTTCCCAGTGAGCCCCCCGCCACGCGGCTTCCCATCAGCCTGGCACAGTGCCCCCTAGTCTGGAAGGAACCCCCAAGGGACAAAGAGCAAAATCCACCAACGGGAGGAAGCAGGTGCCCGTGTGCACGTCTGAGACACGTGTACATAACAGGACACGTGCACACCAGCCAAGACCCGACGGACGTGGAAGAAAACTAGACGGGACTCAGGGACGTCAGGCGTCCCACAGCGAAGAGGCGCCGTGAGAGCAGGGGCGGGGTGCCCCCAGACGCAGGAGGAGCCCACTGTGGGCACGAGAGCCACGGCCCCAGACCAGGCAGGTCCCAGGCAAGCCCCGAGGGAGACGGGGCCCCAAGAACCCCTGGCAGTGGCTGCAGGCCGGCACCAGGCAGGGATGACCGGCCCCTTCACGGAGGAGTAAAGGCTGGACGAGAACAAGGCACTAAGGCGGCCCCGCAGCCAACCAGTCGGGCAGTTCAGCCGTCAGGCCTGTTTCATGGAAATTTCGTGACGAGTCAGCAGAAAGCGGTGACGAAGCCATGCAGGGAGCACGGGACAGGGAGGCAGCAGTCGCCCCACAGTCTGAAGGAAGTCCTTAGAAACAAGGACACAGACTGAAGGCAGCAGGGGAGGTGAGTGTCCACGCCTGCACAGCCTCTGGGTGCGGGACCCCTGCACCCCGCAGGGGCTCTGACACCAGTCAACCCACCTGCCGGAGCGCAGCCGCAGCTCGGGGCCCAAGCAGCACACAGCGGGGACACAGGCTCCTCCACGCGGCCCCCGAAGGGCCCAGTGCGCTGCCGGTCACCCCCAGCAGGTGAAGCTCAGGCCTCACCCCAGAACCGTGCCCCAGCCAGACGCCACAGGCCTCCAGTCACCACGGGCCCACGCTGCTGTCTGCACTGCTTGGGAGGGGTCAAGCCCACCTGCGTGCCCCCGTGCACGGTGGCCTCACTGACGTGCCCCCCACTTGCAGAGGTCGGTGACATAGCCAGGTTCATTCAAACAAGTTTTTCGTAGAGGAAAAGTGCTTTTAAAAAGTTACGAAAACAAATGCCAAAAGGAAACAAAATCTCCATGGAGTTGCCAGGGAGGGTCTGGAGACCTGTCCTGTCGGGGTCCCAGGGCTGCTGCCCAGACAAAACTTCCAGAGCCACCACCCCTCCTGCCAGCCTCCCTGCCTGGGGCTGCTGAGGGGCCTGCCCACCTACCTTCCTTCAGCAAGTCGGTGATGTCTGCCTGGTACCGGTTCCCTACACGAATCTCTCCCTTGTCAGCCAGGAGGGTCTTCTGCTGGGGGTCGTAGACTAGAGAATAGAAGAAGAAGTCCTGGAAAACAGCACAGAGGCAGCGTCAGCATGCGCGGGGCCTGGCCCAGAGCCCCGGGGGCGAGGCCGCCTCCGCGCTCCCGGAGGCGGGGGGGGGGGGGGAGCGTCAGCGCAACAGGAGGACACGCACACGGGAGAACTGACAACCACGCAGGACAGTCACCTGCCCAGAGACGCAGAGCTCACAGCCCTCCAGAGGGCAGCGCCGTGGAGACAACACCCCGTTCACAGCCCTCCCGGCAGCAGCAACAGTTTGAAAATTTAGTTTATAAAAGCATTTAATAGCGACAAAAACCCTAAGGCATCTAGGGACAAAGCCAACAGATTCTGGGCATGTCCTTGGAGGAGATGGTGCAGTTTTCGCGTGGTTGTCACAGGCGACGTACACAAGGGTACAGAATGTTCTGGACTCGATGCCCTGAGCTGTCAGCCAAGTGGCCGCCTCTGCCTCCACGCCTGTCTGCACCGACCCGCCAGCTCCCAGGCCGTCCCGGCTGGAATCTGCTCAGTCGGCCTTCCTGGCCTTTGCCGCCCCGCACCCGAGTCCCACATGCTCAGTCGTGTTTTCTGGAAACTGCTTTCCGCCAGTTTGAACTGTTTTTGAGCCAGCCCGCCGACCCAGGCCTTCCAGAGGGTCTCGCCATGTGCACTCCGGGGTCACAGTGCCTGCGTCCCCACTTCACCCTCCTTGACTCCCTGGCAGGTGCCAGAGGCCCTTGCCCCACCCTCCTCTGCTCCTTCAAACCTGCCTCCTCAGTTCCTACCGCAAGGAGCTTCCTGCACTCCCCAGGCGGCCAGTGGGTGGCGCCCGTGCCTGTGTCCAGTGTGGGCTGCAGCTGCGCCTGGGGACCACCTGAGAATAGTCAGTTCTCGCCTGGGGCCGCTCAGACCCAAGAGGGAAGGTTTTCTCACTGTGTAAGGGCGGTTAGCTTCTTAGACAGCTGAGAGGAGACAAGCTAAAAATGTCCCAACGTGCGCACCCTGGAGACACACACAGGCCCCCGAGTGTGGCCCGCGCACTTGCTGGAGAGAAACCAGTTCACAGCTGACCTTTCTGTTCACAGACATTCCTCCATGTCACTTCCTCAGTGCGGCTGTCACTCAGGGGTTTTTCTGAACTGCAGACAGCACCCCACTGCCAGTGGAAACAAGCCTGGAGGCCATGGCCCCCACCCCTGCCCCGCTGCTCCCCTGGGCCCGGGGGTGCCCCGCTGGCTCCCCAGGGCTGACTCCAGCTCTCGACTCTGAGTCCAGCCTCGGTGAGACCTCAGCAACGGCTGCCCTCCCTGCACTGCTGCGTCCACGTCCAGCCTGCCCCCTCACCCTGCTGGGCCCCTGGGACGAGCGGGCTCTGCCTGGGGTACAGGGGGCTGTGGCTGAGAACAAGTCCCACCTACAGGTGGTGAGACTCCTTTGTGGAGTTGAGGAGCAGCTGCAGGCATGTCCCCTCGGAGCCCTCAGTGCACAGGGACACACAGGGAGGGGACCCTGGCCCCATGACCACGCCCTATCTGACCCCAGGAGTCCCCTTGTGCTGCGACCTGTCCCCCTTGGTAATGCTTATGCCCAGCTGCTCAGGACCTCAGAGCATGTGACCCTGCCACCCCACAGGCCACCTGCCAGAGTCTCAGAACAGGGTGACGCTCCCAGGACACACACATCATCTGGAGACGTTTTTGGTTGTCACAGCTCAGGAGAGGGGCGCTGGGCGGGCAGCCCACAAAAAGAACCACCGGCCCTGGGTGTCACCACAGGCTGGGACTGAGAGGCTCCTCTCCCGTCCTTGCCTAGGGGACGAGGTCGGCCCCGTGGCCCCAAGCCCGTGGCACCACTGACATCTCTGATTTTATCAACTTAGAAACTCTCTGGTCGAGCGGCTAGCATGGTTCTGGGTGGACACACTGAGGACTTGAGGAGGTGGCCTGGACCGCTGTTCGACCACACGCCCGCTGGGAGAGCCCTGATGGGGGCCACGGTGGCCAGCACGGGTCCTTGTCACTCCCCCCAGGACAAGCCGTGCCCCTCCTGGACCCCCGGGGGAGGAAACAGACCCCCAGGAGCCACCATACCCGCTGTGGGCCCTCACTCTGGAGGCGCGAGGAGTGCGGGCCGCGCAGGGCACGGGCTGGGGTGTGCCTGAGCGCAGAGTGAGGTGAGAGCAGACGCCCCCACTCAGACCCACAGAGGCCGGGACCCAGCTCCTGCCTCCGCCCGCTGGGATGCCAGGGCCAGCCTCACCTCCCGCTCCAGGTAGGACTTGAGTGACTCGGTCTCGTTCAGCAAAGTGACGCTGCATTTCCCTCTGCAAGAAAAGGACAGGTGCGTCAGAGGAGGCGGGCAGACCCCTCACGCCGGCCCCGGGCTCTGGGTACCTGATGTGGGTGGCGGGCAGTGACTCCAGCTGCCTCGACAGGAACAGCTCCCGATGCCTCAGCTGGTGCTTAAGCTTCTCGGGCAAGTCGACCATTTCCGGGTTCTCCATCTCCTCCTCTATTTCTCCTGAAGGACAAAGCGCTCCTATGAGCCAGTCCTGAAGTCTCACACTCAGGCCACCAGACAAAGGCTCCCCAGCCGGCTGCATGGCCCCTCCCCCTGCGGGACCCGGCACACATGCTGGTGCCAATGTGTCTGTCCCAGCCCAGCCACCCCAACGCTGAGCATCCCTAAGTCCCAGGGCCCCTGAATAAGGACAGCACTGTGCTGGCCTGGGAAGAGCAGGCAAGAGGAAGGAGGGAGAGCCAGAAGGCAGTGCTGCACGCCCAGTGCCCGAGGCCACCGCACGCTCTGCCCACAGTTCCCCGCGCCAGCAGGCCCAGCGTGCAGGCAGTGGCACACACCCCACCTGGCGCTGTATACCAGGCCCCTCCAGCAGAGGGCGGCTCTTACCTTCCTCGCCGTTGTCGGCCCCCGGTCCCGGTTTATAGCAGACTGACAGGGCTGTGTGACAGACAGACAGCGCCCAGACTGTGGTGAGTGACAGAGCACACCATGCTGCTTACTCCCTGCCCGGCCTGGACCGAGAGCTGTGAGGCAGGCCTCCCAGAGCAGGGGGAGACCACCCAGCTGAAGCCGGAGAACACCTGGGCCTCTGGACATCCCGCCCTGCCGACCTCGGGCCCCTGCCCAACCCAGCCCATGAGGCCCAAGACTCTACGGACAGAACCCCAGGCAAGCCTGGGCTGCGAGACCCTGCCTCCCTGCACACAGCACACACCTGGTGCCCCAAGGCTGGGAGGGAGCCAGATCCTCCTCAGAAGTTGGGGAAGGGGGGTCCCTAGACCAGGTCTGCAGTGTGCA